CCATCTCTTCTTCGTCGGCGATTTGCAGTTGTGCTAGCGCCTCCTCCGCAGCCAGTCGCGCCTTTAGAGCCCGCTTGAAGTTCATGCAGGTCCGTTCAAGCTCCTGGTCTAATGGTAATAAATCTCCCGACTGGCTACGGGTCATGCACTACCTGCACACAATCAGCAAAAGCAACCCGTGAAGGCACACAGGTGGAAGAGATAAAATGCAGTAAAGAAACCTAGAGGTTCCCCGGAAACGGCGCCAAAAACTTGACACGCTACGACACAACACCAAACTGCGACCAAGTGTAATCGCATTCCAAGAATGCAGTAAAGTGGCAAGTCTAATTATCAACCCAGGGTCTAGATCTACTGCCTACTCCGTGAATATCTATTATCTAGCCAACTAAGTCAATTGATTGTGGTTATAACTAAAAGCAGTAAGAAAGCAGGAATTGATTCGGTTTTCTAAGGAAAGGAAGAGTCACTCGGGAATGAGTCTCCCTAGCTCCTTAGTTAGGTCTCAGTTGTAATTACCCTAGGTTGATTTAGTGTTGCTTAAACTGCGGAAGATCCAACAGTAGCTTGGAATCTCTTAAGCTAACCAAGCCCTCTTAGTCTAACTACCCGGCAGACGACTAGTCTTCACCGGGATAGAAAGCTGAAGCAATAAGCACAGAACTCCACTACTGGAATTAGATTCCAGTACAAAGTAGTAGACTGACTAACTCTCGTATAGCCAATCTACTACTACCGAATGATGAAGCTCTAACAACCTAATCGGATTCTATCTATCTCAGTTTGCAGCAGAAATCAAGAAAAGCTGATCAGACTTCAATTAATTCAATGAATCATGCATCATTCGATTAAAACCAAACAGTATAGCAATCCCAAGTCATTACAATCATGATTCCTAACACATGGAACTCGGGTTCTTCATACCCAAGTGAAAGAAGGGTCTACTCCATAGAGATGAGAGGAAAATAGAATATAAAGCAGTCATACTCATAACAATGGGAAGAATCTGCTCTGGGATGATGATCTTCTCTCCTATGATGATCTCTAAGCTCGATTGACGAAACCCAGCTGCAAAATCACTTCGAGGATGTGTTCTTCGCACTTTCTCTCTCTAGGGCTCTGTTTTTGCTATGAAAAGTTGATTCCCTCACTTGTGGCTTGAAATTGGGTTAAAATCCAGAATTCCCGACTCACACGGGCAGGCCACATGGCCGTGTGGCTTACCCAGCTGCCCGTGTGAGTGTCAAAACGCGGAGTTTTGATTAAGTGGACTTCAGGCTACCTACACGACCAGGGACACACGGCCGTGTGGAATATCCAGGATGCCTGTGTGAAGGCTCGGTAAATCCCACACGGCCACAAGGGTTCCTTACACGGCCGTGTGGGTTTTAGTAGTGCCCGTGTGGCTTCCTCAGCGTCTCGCCCCACGTCCGATCTTCGTCCAATCGACCCCGAACTCGCTCCCAAACCTTCATTCACGCACTAGGACCTAAAATATCACAAACAAGAACAACCTAGCGTGAAATCGACCTAAAACACGAGAATCAACATCTCAAACGGCTTAAGAATAGGGGTAAAACATGTGTAATTAACGGTCTATCAAAAGGCTTGCTAAGAGAAAGAAGAATCTCGGCGAATTGTTCAACAAAATCCTCCCTCAAGTGTTTAATTGAGGTACATTATTCGACTTTACATTCCAATGATATGATTCCATATTGAGTTACTCATGAGAAATCAAAGAAGTAAAGGCTGTCAAATCCAACTGTATGCTCTAATTCAACAAAACAAACGTATTCTTTTTAGGCTAAATATTTAGTATCATAAAGCTATGTTCGTTTTGCTTATTATCTCTACAAATGTGGATGCTAAGGAGACAGGGACCTTAGAAGAAAATGCCACTTTAGCAAATTAGTGTAGAATTTTAGATGTCTAATCGAATTTGAACTAGCAAGCTCTTTAAGATATTGGGTTAGGATATAGGGATAGATAGGTATAAAGAGAATTTAATTAGTAGTGGGAGTTTAATCATTGATGTGTTTAAGGACTATTGGTTGTGAGGCATTCATTAATTGCTTGCTTTATTCCCATTGAGAGTCTAGAAGGATTGCATCCCTTTATTCCGTGATCTTTTTATCCCTGTTAAGGAAGCATAATTTCTATGTGTAATTCTATGTATTTTATGTATCAAGGAAGGTCGATATTATTTTTGCAGAATCTTGAAAAGAGGTGCCATCTCCAACATTTCGTAAAATTGTATCAGCCAAGAACAATATCGAACTCTTGGAAAAGTGAAATTTATATTAAAAGTTGTATTGATTATTTTGTTAAATTATGACTGCGTTAATCCAACAACTCAATTTCTCATATTGAGCACTCTCCAACTTGCCTGATGGTTTACAAGTCACATCAACTTTTGTATCGGTGTTCAATTAGTTTTGTTTGTTTGATCAATATTTACTCTCATTGCCTGCTTCATGATCGAGTTGTTAATAGAAAACTAGATAAGCCTGATGCGCTTCGCGAAGAGTGAAAAATAGCAATGTAAATGTGTCATTATGAAAGAATTAGTAAAATGTAAATCATACAACTTAATTCTTGAAGGGAAAGAAAACTCATTAAGATATTGTAGGAGAGATTAGTATTAATTTGTACTCGGGAAGGGTTGGTGGACGAGAGGTGGCGGGTAAGGGTTGAACTGCTCGCGACAGGTGAGATGGGCCGGTAGGTGTTGGGTGGGCCGAACTGGTGGTGGAGTTGGGGGAGGGGGCAAGGGATGTATTATGATGATAGGAATCGTGTTGAGTTGGACAAGTGTTGGAGGGTGGGGAGTGAGCTGGAAATGGTGGGGGAGGGCCGAGAGTAATTAATGGACTGGGTAGGGAAACATGGTTCCTGAGGACAACTTTAAAATCACAACTCAAATATCATTAGTTCGAATATTTCGTATCGAATTGGAGTACTGAATATGCAGAAGTTATATAGAATTCTTAAATTAGTATTTATTTTTGAACTATTATGACATAATATTCATATATTTGTCTAATAATATATGGGATTGGTTCTTTGAACATTTTGGTTGAGCAAACCTCTAAATTGTAAACCTCTTCCTATTCTTACATGATTGGACCCGACAATCAGTAGACGAGGTTGAGTTTAATAAATGGGTTCATTTCAACTTTTTTTTAATGTAATAATAAATTTGTAGGGCAAGGAAATGTCTACATACACACTCTACAAAATATATAATACTGGAATGAGAAAATAATTCTCTCATTTCAAATTTTCTACAACGAGAGTGAGAGTAAGAATGATATTTTTGCTTCACAATTATTTATTAGAAAATAGGCCAGTATTGGATTGAACTAATGTATCTTCAAATAAAAAGAAGATTCATAACTATAATTGTCAACCTGAGTTGAATCAGTCAGTTGAACCAATTATGTTCAAACCCAAGTATCTCACCTTGCTCTGAACTCTCAGTTGGTTATCTAATTGGGCTCAGTTAAACCCAGGAAAACCCAATCAAATTGATAAATCCAACTGATTCCACAAATTGGTTCGAGCACAGGTCCACTTCAAAATGAAGTCGTTTTCAAAAATCATATCCGTAGTTTCGTCGTCATGTCGTGCTTTTTCTTATCGCATACTCATACATCAGTGAGGATTAACAACCCATGTTTGACAATCCCATCATCTCTTCTATTTCATTTAGGTTTGACAGGAAACAATACGAGTCTCAACCATCTCAGAAGACTTCATAATCTCTTTGTAGTCAATTCCATTTTTCTGCTTTTGGCACATTCATTGAGCCAATCGACGTCATCTCATGCAAAGAAAAAATAAAAAGTAAGAGGGACATGCATTTGAACTGATACTTTGTGCGAGTGTGACTAACAGAAGTCAAGTTCCTCATTTGTCTATGCTCTTGAAATTGAATTGGAGAAAAAATGTAAAAAAATATTGAGAATGGAATGTGATACCTAGCAATGTAAAGAAGGAAAGAACGTATAGAAAAGGAAAATAAAGAAGGAAGGGTTTGAGAATTAAAGCGTCACTCCAAAAGGGAGAAATAAGTATAAAAAAGTACCAATAAATTCATTTCATCCCAATGAATGAATTATAATAAAATATTATTGGACCTATGTTTATCATAGATATCTAAGCACCATACAAGTGGAACAAATAAATTTCTTCATATATCTCGGCAAAACTTGGCTAAACGAAGGTAATTCATTTTGACTATCGACCCTTAATCCACTTGCTTGAAGGATTCAACGATTGAAACCAGGTTAACAACTTTAGCCACAACTAATAACACTTAAACAAGTTTGTTGTCTATGTATATATCTACAAAATATATGATATTAGGGTTGACGCTAAACATATGTATTTGGAGAAAGTCGAAAAAGATTTGCAATCATTTTTAGATGAAGCGCGAATTATGCACGAAAATTCGTGAATTAACATATGCGGCGAAAGAAAACGAGCGATACCAAAAAAAGACGTACATATGATGAGTGAGAGTGTAGAAGCACATGTATTCACCATGGTTCACTGAATGAGTGGTTAATCTAAAGTAAATTTAATGCTCTATCAATGTTTTGAATAAGCAATTATCTCGAAATAGATGTTCTCACACTTCCACTCTCACTTCCACTCCCAACCAATGAATGGGTAATCTAAAGTAATCCGGCCAACAGGCCTGGAAAAAAACTAGTTGACTATTGAGAGTAAGGTGGAACTATCAGAGCAGAAGAAACAAATGTGTTAATTCGGGTTGAGATTCCACGGAAAGATTGTTTCCCAGTGCAATCTCCACAGTTTTTTTTTTCTTTCTTTTACATAGTGTGCAATAACCATAGTTGAATAAATACAAATAACTATTTTTAAGTGATAATAAAACCCGATATCATAACTAATGGTGCTAGCTTGTAACATTTTACATGAAGATTTATCGATCGACAACAGTTAATTGAATTTAAAAATCATATCTTAATCACATTAAAAGCACTTTTTTGTTTTGTTTTACTCAGTGAGCGTGACTTGGCCTAGGTATAGCAGGCGGATCCAGGGTCGTTGTCGTGGGATACTTTCTTTCTCAAAAGCCATTTCATCAACGCATCTAAAGGGAGAGGATTACCCACATAACAAAGAGGGCAAGCTAGCTAGGCAGCCATTAGCCCATTACATTACTGAGTTCATGGATGAAACCCCATCAACAAATTAAGAACCCACATAGGTACTAAACATTAATAGCCAACTAAGGAGGGATCTAAAAACTGAGAACGAGTCCGAGTTTTCTTAACAACAGTCAACACAAGCTACTGCTACTAATTTTGATTAAGCTGCTCCGCAGTAGCGTCTTTCGCCGGCGGCAGGGGCTGACGAGGGCCCTGCCACTTCCCTTTGAGTCCCTGTAAGTAGTGGTTGGTCGCTTGGGCGGAGATCATTACGACCTATAAAAAAAAATATACAGACGAGAAAGATCAGAAAGCTTGGAAGAAAGAAAACACAGAGAGAAAGAGAGAGAGACTTACAATGGTGAGGAGGAGACCGTAGGCAAAGGAATAGCGGCGGTGGCCTTCGCTAGCGAGCAAGAGCGCGCCACAGTAGACAGCCATCTTCACAAGATCTATCAGACTCCCCTTCCAAACCCGCGTCCACGACACCATTGTTGATCTCGCTCGCTGCGAAAATGAAAGAAAAAAGGCCTCTCTCTATCTCTCTTCTCTAGTCTCTCTTCCCTTCGAACAATAATGAAGCCAGAACAAACTTTTTTACTAGCTCTCGTTCACCTGGTTCGTTTCGATTATAAAGGGGGGAGAAATCCACCAGAAAGCGTTAAAAAAGCGAAGAAGACAGGTGGCAGGCAGGGTTGATTTGGTCTTTATCGCCCGCCAGCCAGCCAGCCAGCGTAGCGTATGTCAGAAGGTTTTAATCAATTGCATGCAGGTATGTAGTAATATGTTGGTCCTTTGTCTTTTTGGCTGTTTGTGAGATTTTATTCGGGAGCTGAACTGACCTAAATAAGGAACTAAAACTCTGAATTCCAGCTGATTGGGGAAAGTGGATACCTGCGCTTACTAGAATTTATATCATAATAAATGTGATGATGCCTTATTTCGTTGCGAATGAACCAGTACCCATTGACTAATTAGTTGATTTGCAACTGAGCACAACGGTAAAACAAACCCTCGAGACAAGTAGTTTTTCAGTCCGTTATCAAGTAAGAATCAAGTAGTTTTTCTTGTTTGAATCGTGATTTAAATTAACCATGGTTTATCTATTTTATATCGACAAAATTCCACCTCTACAAGGACTCTTTATGAAGTATTTTTTCGGTCTCACCATCAACAAGATACGATTTAACAATCAAAGTAATGACGATGACGTGCCTTTCAATTGCTCACTCTATGCTCAGCCAACAACGCTGCTTTCAAAAGGTCCCACGACCACCCAGACAAGTAGGTGGGGTGCTTCTCAGGCACATTTCATCAAACAGCTAATAGGCATCACGACCGACTCCTTCCCATGAAATCAAAGTAATATACACATCAGGCAAAGCCTGCATCTTTGAGACTAACATGTTAAACACACAGTAATCACATTGTTCATGACATTGGCAATGATAAATGCATTGCAGCGACTACATTAAACACCTGCCGACCGGGCCCATAGATGCAAAAACTATTAATCTAGAGCACGCCCACAAGAACCCTAGACACGAAAGGAAAGCAAATCGAAAACAGAGATCGGGGAGCTTCTTAATAAAGAAGACCACATGTTAATTACATACTATTCACTAGCTAGCTTCTGGATACTAGTGGGAGAAAAGAGACGGAACACAAAGTACTGATCGCAACGACTGGTAATTAGTTCTTCGTAGCAGCAGCGGCGGCAGCTGGTTCGGAGCTAGACAGCTAGTGCATTCCCCGGGCTTAGGCAGCACCGCCTTCTCCAACTGGCCCAAAAATATGACTATGATTTGGACACAGAGAGTGAGGACCTGAATAAAACGGAGAAGAAAAGAATTAAAATTAGATCCTCGTTGACCGGCCGGGAAATATGAATCGGCGACCAGAGAAAAAAAAAAACAGAGAGCGTATAGGTTGGGTAAGGTCTTGGATTTTTATAAAACAGGAGAGAGAAGGAGGGGTGCGTTGGTCCTTTTGTACTACGTGCCAATTTTCCTATGATCCGAAGGGTTTCTAATAGCACTCATGATTAGACATTTCGTAGAAAATGACAGATTTGCGTTTCAGCTGAGAAGAAAATCAAGAGATAGCATTTGCCTGCCATAGATAGATAGACATCACAAAAAGGATTGATGTGCTGCAACCGCTAGCTAGCCTGTGCTAAAGCCTAAGGCTGTACGAGAATCCGCAATTCGATGTCATCTGGTTTGCTAGGAACTATTTAAGTTGACGACTACTTGTTAATGTTGGCCGATTGAAGTTACTGTTTCTCAATTCATCGTTTTGGTTATATTAGCTCTTTGTTGGGATTGGAATTTAGGGGTAGTTTTGGAAAGTTGTGATTGTTTAATAGATGTATTGTTTAGAATACATGTATAATATTATAGATGTATTGTCGAATTTAATGCATTGTTGTTACAATGTTTGGTATATGTGATTGTGTATGTCACGTCAAGTAATAGCCGAGACAAAACAATTTCAACTCAACTATTTCAACAAGGGATGGGATTAGGTGCTAACCCTTATAGGAGTTAGCACCGTGATAACTAGCAAAAAACGCTACTAAAAATAACGAAATTACTACGGATTATTATAAAATCAATACAACATCTAAGCTAAATCACTACTAATTCAAACTAGTAGTAGTTTTTCCCTTAGTTAGGACGGTGCTAACTATTGTACAATTAGCACCGTAACCGCTCCCTTTCAACAATCACAACTAAAAGTTATCTTATAAAAAAAATCACAATTAAAAGTTGAGAAATAACAATCACTCATTTTGAGGGATTATCTGTCACATCGCAAAAACAATCCATGTATTGTTTCTGGTAAAAAAAAAGAAAAAAACAATACATTGAAAACAATACATGCATATGAACAATCTCAACAAAACAATCGCAACTTCCAAATGACCCTTTAGTACCATTATGTGAGGATCACCACTACCGACAAACAAGTTAGGGCAAGATAACTCGCTATATTGATCTAACGGGGTATTGGATGATATCTATCACCCATGAGACATGCCAAAGTTATCTTCAATTCTTTACAAATTGATGCAAAAACTTTGATAACACATCGGAATGGCAATGGCCAGGTCCGAGGTGGGTATCTCGATACACATACCCGACTTGTTGCTGGTCGAGATATTCATTACAGGACGCGGGTTGGAGCAGCTCGACCCAATGTTTATTTAGTTTAGAAGGAAAACATGAGTAAATATTCAATTTTTTCATTAAAAATACAATAAACAAAGTAAAATATGATAAATGTTAAATTATTTAAAAAATTCAGGTTCTTACATATTTACAACTTTATTGTAGCTAAAATATGCGGAAATAAAAGTAAAATTATAAGTAATTCGAATAGAATTACATGTAATTTAGACAAAGACGGGATGCAGTATTAGATCATTAATTATGTTCAGTCTTCTTGGCGCCAGGTTGAGGTAATTACTCCAACAGTTAAAAGCAGGCTATTTATTTCCTTCAATTAGCCTTGAAGAAGCATGATTTGCTTGTTTCCCTCGCCTTTTTCTGTAGTTCTTGTCAATCAAACTTTCTGTTGTGAACCCAAGGCCAGAAGTCAGCTCCCGTAAGCTCTCCTGGTAAGTGTTAATGTATAAGTACCATAAAATATTGCAGCATGACAAACTTCGCTTAGAATTGAGTTACTGTAAGGACTTATAATGGCTGCCGCATTTCTAGGTTTTGTTTTATTATGATGCTCTTCTTCTGAGGTAGTTATACTTCCTACAATTACATCTTTGCTTGAGAAAGCTACTGATTTTGAATTGGGATATGAGATGATTATAGACATAAATTTAAGAAAATTTTATTGTAGAGTACTTGCATAATATTGTAGTCAGAATCTCACAGATGTAATCGCTTAAGCAGGAAGGACGGGGAGTAATAGAGAAATGAAAAATGCTACAAGAGGTTCGCAAGATTAAGGTATTTATTTATTATGGGTTTTTATGATGCATTTAAAGTGAATCCTATTGTTACTTTCAGATATTTCAAATTTGTTCAGGACTGCTCCTTTCTAAACCTATTTAACCAAATTGCGGTTAATGATGAGAGTATTAGTATTAGTTTCAATGTTTATGTCAACTTGGTCATTGATAATCTCGGGGGGAATGTTCCTCCTATGGTTTAATGTCTTATCTCTGGTAACAAGATCACCTTTTCTAATGATCATTACATTCCACAAACAGGGTAGTGCAAGGAAATAAAGTAGTGGTTGGTGGCTTGGTGCTGTGACTCAATTCCCTGATGCTGACAAATTTTAAGAGTAAGTTTCTTTCTTGTATTTGCTTCTCTTGAAGTTGATGTGCTTTAAAGGGATTCTCATTCTTGAAGTTACCCATCCATTATTGTTTGGTGCGTAATTAGATTGAGTTTGGAGCATTTTTCTTATTTGTTCATCATATTGTAAGAGGGAAGCTGTTGATTTACAGCTGAAGACCTCAGGTCACTTGGAATTTTGTGTTCGTAAAGTATTGACTCATACACAACCAGCAATCTAAGTTTAAACTCAGTATATAAACCCTTCCAAGCTTACTTTAAAACCCCTACTCTTTTGGCAGACTCTTCTTTGGTACAAGACAAGTTTCCAAAGGACTTGCAAGATGGTATGCTGAGCATCATATCAATTCCAACTTTAGGCCAGGTTAGTTATATACTTAAACTATTCAATCATTTATCTTTACCAAAATGTTGAAAATCTGAAAATAGATAACATTCACTGATGTGTTTGGTAGAATCTTGCAGTTACCAGATAGGATTCAGGATTCTGTTTAGTCTTAATTGGGTTCAATAATGTGTTTTTGAAGATTCCCAGCCTCATTTCCTTGCAAGGGCCCTAGTCACATTTTCATTTGCATATTAGAATTTAGACGCATCTCTGTTTCTGATAGAATCTCAATTCCCATGATTGCTTTGTTCAGCCACATTCAGCTACCAATCCCGATCCGGCTGCTCCAGTCTCCAGAGGAAGTGGTTCTGGAGCAAGGAAAGAGTTTGGTCACTTCGTTCAATCATTCTTCCTCGTCGATTCTCAGAAGGTAACTTTAGGTAGGATTCTATTTCTGATTCTCTATAAGTTGAGCTAAGTCAAATCCGGTCTGTTTCCTATTTTTAATTTTCTATGAGCTATGTCAAATTCATATATGGTTTAGATCTGTTTGTTTTGGTTATCAAATTGTAAAATAATGCCGATTAGTTTCTTAATAGATAAAATGGGGATACCATAATGTAGAAATTTCACACAGTATGTGTTAATGGAAGTCTAGGTAGCTATAAGAAGGATACCAGAATGCAGAAATTTCAGACAGTATGTGTTTATGGAAGTTGAGGTACTAAAATGTATGACATGCCTTTTGATGTACAATAACTTATGTTGTTTTCTTCATGCAGTTGACTAAAAATGTCAACCTATTTCCAGAAGACAGTCATCAACTCAGGTGGCTATCGCTTGCTAGATTACGATCTTCTGTCTCTGGTATGAGTGTTTAGTCTTGATGCTTCCGTCTGTGTGTGTGCGCATTTTTCCTTTCACAAGAAAGATCCTAGAGGTCAACAAGTACGATCTTATGACCTGTTTTCTTTTTTCGTTCATATTAGCTCATCCTTTTATGTTCAGACAGTATGGTTCAAATTTCAAGTGTTGGAGATCTTTCCCTTTATCCTCGAGATCATGTGCATTGTATGGAATTGAGAGGCTTTGAAGGTTTCAGTCCCAATATATTTGTAATTTGTGGCTTAGAACATTATGTACCAACTTTGTTATATGTAAAATATGGTATTTTGTTATAATTCAATTTAATATTTCTAATTAAATGGACCACATGTGACATGACCGAGAATCTTCCATGGAGAAAACTATTTATATGAAATTATTTATTTTTTAGGCTCTTCTTGTGTTGTTCGCAACCAAATTATGTGGTTGGGTTAAACTTTCATCGCCACAAAAATTAGTCACCTAAAATAATACTATTGGTTGGCATAGGAATTATTTACAACCAAATTTTATGGTTGTCTAACAATTCTATAACAATAATGATTAGTCGTATAAAATGAGATAATTGGTTGGCATATGCGTTTTTCACAACCAAATTTTATGGTTGTGTTAAACTTTCACAACCAAAAATATTGGTCGTTATAATGATATTGTTGGTTACTAATAGTGAAATAAATTGGTTGTCATTAGTATTTATGGCGACCAATCATCGACATTCCTCAACCAATATTGTGAACAATGACAACCAAATTACGATGGTCGCAAAAAAATCAAGATGTTTTACCATTGACAAAATTGGTTGCGATAGCTTTATTTTTTGCTACCAATCATAATTTTGGTTGCTGTAGGAATTCGTAATGCGGCTATAGCGACCACTTCTGCTACCAAAACTTTTTGGTTGTGAAATTGTTTAATAGCCAATTTTAAACTTTTAGCGACCAAATATGTTGGTTTCAAAAAGCCTTTTTTCTTGTAGTGAAAGTAATTTGCCACTTTTTAACTTCCTTATTCAAATCATTAATCTAAGTTTACCTCCTCGTCCTTCAAGCCAAGAGAAGTTGGGATGCTGACGCCACCCCTCATTATATGTATTGCTGTACGGGTCGAGGCGCCGAGCATTGGCGATGAAGTCCAACTGCTCTTGGGGAGTAGTAGACTCCCTCATAGCCTGGCAGTCTTCCACTAAGTGATTTGAGCTCTCACACCACTGACGTTGAGCTACTGGAGGTGTAGCCAAACCTCTGCCCAGAATAAGACTGTTGGGCTGCTTCAATGTCTGCACTAACTCAGCTACCTGCTGCTCGAGCCCGGATCTGGTCTCCATGGCGTGCACACCATGGTCCCGGGAATGTCTGCCTCTGCTGCTCTGCCCCCAGGAATGATCTCT